CATCCAGTCATGTTGATGTCTTCATTGTAAAGTTACTATTTTTTCTTTTGTAACCTTTGGAAAATATTCCAACAACATGCCAAAATTCTGTTCCTCATCAAAATGTCACTCCACTGTGATGGTTGGCCAATGATTTTCTATTTGTATCATTCCTTCCACATTGATTGGTTGGCATTAAAATGCAAATGAACAGCTTTTCTTTCTCCCCATTTATTTATTTACATCAGCATGAGCTTGCAAATTCCTATTGTATTCAATAAACTATAATCGGTTACTGTAAGTAATGTTGTAGTCAAGTTGTACATAATTTGGTCAACTGGAGCCTCTTTGAGCTGGGTTTTCTGTCCAAGTAGCACATGCCTATCAGACTTTGAACACTCCTTAACTTCTGGCACAAGATGTTCCAGGCTCATTTTGTTGTTTTTCTTCTCTTCCCCTAAAATCTGTCATGTCTTCAAGGAGTGCTGGTTCCTCCTAGTGGAGCATGGGATTAGAAACCAAAATATGTATAATCAGTGTGCTCAGCTACTGGGTTATCATTGCATATGGATCCTCTCACAGGACGGCACCAGGAAATAGGTTTATTTCCTAGTTTATACACGTAAAATATACTATGTGTATACACATATATAAATACACAGAGAGATACATACACATCCATATATATTTCTATAGTTATTTATATTTATATTTTAAAAAGTGAGTTCATAATGATACGTACATTTCCAATCAACACCTCAGGGTTTTCTAGCCTTCCTCCTCTCCATGTTTGCATTTTCTCCAACAGGGAAAAATACGGCCAGATTTTCTCCAACAGGGAATATATATTGAGTAGCCTCAATATATTTACTTATTCGCTCAACATAATCAGTTGTCTGATCGTCCCAGCCTTCTCTCTGCCGCCTGCACGCCTCTTCTCAGTCCCTACATTCTTGCCCCATCACTGCTGGGTCTCATGGGGGTAAGGTAAGAGAAACAGAAAAGAATGATGGAAGGAAGGGAAGGTGAAAAAGGAAGAGAAAACAGAAAGAGAAGAACAGAGAGGGAAAAGCTTACTATTAAGATAATGTCATAACTTGCTTTTAGTAATTTGTTAATGTCAATAACATTAATATATGGTAATGTGTTTTGCCTAATTACCATATCTATGCTTCTTCAGCAGCAATTCCGTAAATTCAAAGGTTCTATTTATTTATATATTTATTTATTTAGAGATGGAGTCTCACTCTGTCACCCTGGCTGGAGTACAGTGGTCTGATCATAGCTCACTGAAATTCCAGTCTCCTGGGCTTAAGAGAGACTCCTGCCTCAGACACCCAAAGTAGCTGGGATTATTGGTGCACACCTACACCGGGCCAAGTCACAGGTTTTAATATAAACTCGCTTCACAGTAAAAAAGTTGAGAGTTAAGCGGCAGCGTACAGAGAGTAACTGCTAATGGCAAACCTGAGGTTTAAACTGTGAGGCCTGGAATCAGACAGTCCTGTGGCTTAATTCTGCTTCCTCTCCTGCTGTGTGTGTGACTGAGGGCTAATTACTTATCAGCTGTGAATCTGATTCCTTATCTGTAAAATGTGCATAATATTTACTTCACAGGATTGCTATGGATGTTCACTGGACATAATAGGGAGTTTGGTTAGTTGTCATTGCTAGTTTGTTACAGTTAGTACCAAAAATTAAACTGTGTCCTCCTACACTTCCCCTCTTACTCATTGCTTATTGCTGTATGGAAAGCCAGCATTGCTAGACCACAGTATTCTCATAGCACAGTAAACACACACAGACACACACACACACACACACACACACACACACACACAGAGAGGCTGGAATCGTAGGTATCTTTCTTGGCCAGGCACAGTGGCTCACACCTGTAATTCCAGCACTTTGGAGGCCAAGGTGGGCGGATTGCTTGAGCCCCAGAGTTCAAGACCAGCCTGGGCAACATGGTGAAACCCCATCTCTACCAAAACAAACAAACAAACAAAAAAAAACACCAAAAAAACAAAAATTAGCTGGGTGTCATATGCTTGTAGTCCCAGCTACTTGCTACTTGGGAGGCTGAGCTGAGAGGATCACTTAAGCCAGGGAAGTGGAAGTTGAAATGAGCCAAGATCGTGCCACTGCACTCCAGCCTGGGTGACAATGTCTCAAAAAAAAAAAAAGCATTTTTCTCGACTGGACAATGAGAATTCTAATTCTAATGGACATCCATTGTTTTGTCCTCCCACTTCTTGTGGGAAATGGTCTTTCTCCACTTCCATAAGGTAATGCCCATTGTTCTTACGTGAACATGGCAGTTACAAGAACATGACAATGCCCATGTTCTTAAAGATCCCAGATCTTTGGCACAATCGTTTGATTCAGGGACAGGCAATTCGCTGGACCAACAAACTATCCTTCCCTGAGAATTTTTAACTTGGGACTAGAGATCATCACCCTTACCTCGCCTGTCTGATGATGAGGCAGAAGATGAAATATTGGGAGCTATCAGTGGCCTTGTTTCCAGACATATGGAGGATGCTGGTCCAACAGCCTGAAGCCAGTGTGCAGAGAGAGAGGCAGAGCTGAGGCATGGGGGCAGAGAGGCATTCCCGTTCTAGTAGGCAGGATCATCAGACCTATCAGATATCTTACAGCATAAGGGCGAAGGATTCTGAAAGAAAGACTGAGACTTGCTGGAGGAAGAACTAGTAGTGCTAAGGGCAGGTATGTGTCCCTCGGGGCCAGAACCAAATTAAGATCAATGGAATGTGCGTACTGGGGTGTGGAGAGAACCTGCCCTTCTTGCAGTTCCTCCCTTCTTGCCGTCTATCCGTATCGACAGTACATTTTCCCTTCTGCCTAACAGTTGAGGTCCTGTCAATGACAATCAAGAGAGGCATGACTGACTCATGTATTCAAAGGACTGTGGTGAGAACCAGTGCCGACACACAGTGGGGACTCAACAAATGTAGGTTTATTACTCACATTTAATGCCTAAAGTCTGAATGCAAAAAGGTTAGGGCAATGCCTGAAGGAGTTACTCTGCAGAAGGGCGAACTAGTTAAAAGGTTAACTTTCTTTGAGCATCACAAGGGAAGGCACCTAGAGACAAAACGAAGACTCTCTCCTCCCCCACCCTCCCCCCCACACATTCTGTTAATCCTAACCTGGCTCTGCCTCCCAGGGTCACAGACCTGCCCTTAGCACTACCAGTACTTCCTCCAGCATGTCTCAGTCTTTCTTTCAGAGTGCTTCGCCCTTATGCTATACAACATCTTACGGTCTGATGGTCCTGATCTTTGGCCATAGTCTCAGCAGGCCAACAAGTGCTCTGCTACAGGTCTTACAGGGAGGGTGAGCTCTTGCTGGAATCGGATCAGATGGATACGGGCTGGGGGAAAAGCTATCTTTAAATTTAGTTTCTTGAGAGGTAGTATATAAAAGCGTATTTAGGCAGGGTGTAGCGGTACATGCCTGTAACCCCAACATTTCAGGAGGCCGAGGCATGAGGATCGCTTAAAGACAGGAGTTCAAAACCATACTGGTCAACATAGTGAGGCCGCAGTGAGCCGTTATCGCGCCACTGCATTCCAGCCTGGGCAACAGAGCGAGACCCTGTCCATAAAAAAAAAAAAAAAAAAAGAAAGTCGGGCCGGGCGTGGTGGCTCAGGCCTATAATCCCCAGCACTTTGGGAGGCCAAGGCGGGTGGATCACAAGGTCAAGAAATCGAGACCATCCTGGTCAACAAGGTGAAACCCCGTCTCTACTAAAAATACAAAAATTAGCTGGGCATGGTGGCGCATGCCTGTAATCCCAGCTACTCGGGAGGCTGAGGCAGGAGAATTGCTTGAACTCAGGAGGTGGAGGTTGTGGTGAGCCTAGATCGTGCCATTGCACTCCAACCTGGGTAACAAGAGCGAAACCCCATCTCGGAAAAAAAAAAAGTCATAAGCAAACAACAACAGAAAACATTTAAAGAATGGCTGTCTGCTTAATCCTTAGGGTCGGTCCTTGAAATCAGTGGTTACTATGTAGAATTTGAGTTCTTTCCTGCCTTGAGTAACCTGAGTGACATCAGTAACATTGGTCAAGCGCCGCTCTTTTTGAAGGGCTCTATTTCATTATTTAAACCTTGCTCTGTTTGATGAAGATTGGGAGAGGGATCCTCCCAATTCCTCTACTCACACAGAACAGCGGTTGCTAGCATTTTTTATTTGTGCTAGGTCATCTGCATATCGCTTAAACATTTTTCGAGGTTGGAAAGACTGCTCCCACTCAGGCAATTCTAACGCGGCGGCCCTTCCGATTTGTATTCTCTAAATAATTCATTTAGAGAAACAGTCAAGGATTACACTGAGGGAGGGTGGCGTGCTGACGGGGGCAGAGCTTGGCCTTTGACCACTCTTCCCTTAGCTCTGCCCAGGCAAGTGTCTCCAACTCAGGGTATTGGAACCGGATCTCCCTTAGAGGAGGATTATCTTTCACACCCCAGCCTCAGCGGTTTACTCAAATGCAGAAGTCTCCAGGGGAGTAATTTTGGTGAAGTCAGCGTTTGCCTTTTTCATCTCAGTGAGGCTTTAGTACTTCCTCAAAACGTGCACCACAACTGCCCGGGCGCCAAACAGAAATGCCGACGCCTAGGCCCACTCCAGCTACTCGGACTCGGCATCCCGGGGCGGGAGCGGGGGGCGCACACTCGCACGCTCCCAGGCACCTCCCGGCCTTCCGAAGAGACCCGCGCCGGGACCTTAGTCTCGCACGTAGGCCGGGGCGGGCGCCAGGCTCTAGCGCCCACCTCCCGCAGCTCTGCGCCTTCTTTGTCCCTCCAGAGGCTGCCGTCAAAGCTCAGCTCCTTATTAGGATTCGGCCTCGCGATCCCGCGCAGCCTCGCCGACTAGCCCAGTTGGCCCTGAGCCCGCAGGGATTCGCCGTGCCCCGCAGCGAGAGAACCTTCCCGCAACCGTCGCCCGCCGTGCACGCGCGCCGCGGCCGCCGGAAGTGACGCCGCAGGTCGTTGGGGCGCTCCCGCCTCTTCCGCCCCGGCGCCCCGCCCAGGCCTCGCCCCTCGGCGCTCCCGCCCCTCCCCCTCCCCTGTTGCTAGCTTTCTGTCAGCCTCTCTCCCTCTCCCTCTCCCCTCTCCTTCCTCTCGCTTCCTCTCTCGCACCTGAGCGCCAGCACCTGCCCGGGCCCGGCTCCCTCTTCCTCCTCCCCTCCCTTTTTCCCCGCCCGGCCGCGGGAGCCTCTTGGCTGCGTCACCGCCGCCCCCCAAGACAAAATGGACACCGCCGAGGAAGGTAAGTCGGCGGCGCCGCCGCGCCCGAGCCCTCGCGTCGGCGCCCGGGTTCGTGCCCCGGCCGGGCCCGAGGCGCTCGAGGCGGGCAGCGGGATCGCGGCGGAGCGGGTGCCGGGGCCGTTTGCCCGCCCGCGGGGCCTCTGGGCCAGGGAGCGGAAGGTGACCCCTCGCGTGCCCCTCGCCGTTTCCCGCCCGCGCCGCCGAGGGGGGCGGGGACCCTGCCGGGCCGGGGCCGGGGCCGGGGCCAGGGCGTCGGGGCTGCTGCGGCCGGCAGGCCCTCTCTCGCCCCCGCCGCGGCGCGCTGGCCCGGAGGACGGGGCCGCTGTCGCCGCCGCCGGAGTCCGGGGGCGTTTTCCGCACCCTTCCCCCACTGGGTTCTGGCTTTCTTTGCGTCCTCCTGCTGTCGCCCGCCAGGCCCTACCCCCTCGCCGCGGAACTTCTTTGTTGACTTTGAAACTTCGCGAAAAACACCCCGCCAGGTGACGGCCCGGTGGCGCGCGCTGACCCCCGCGGCAGAGCCCGGTCCTCGGCTGGCCTGCCGCGCGGGACTGTGGCCCGAACGCGGAGGGGAAGGCTCTTTTGTTTTGCTGCGATCCGTTTGGTTTTAACTCCTTGACACCTAGAAGCGGGGTTCTGTTTGTTTTGTTTTGCGGTTGCGTGTGTTTTGGATACGGTTACTTTGAACAGACTGACCCTTGTAAAATGGATACATAAGATATAACGTCCACGCCTTATGTGTCTTGAAGCGCATTTTTTTTTTTTCCCCACTGACGATAGTAGATTATTTTTAACCAGCTGTGCTTTCAGATGTTTTTAAATGAGTGCGGAATTGATAGCGGAAATTAGTAAATTATTCTGGCATTTTTGATATTCCAGTTATCAATGCAAATGCTTTTCTACTTGAGGTATATTTATCGGGGGATAAGTGTCTTTCATCCTTACTGGTTGCTGTTTTGGCGGTTTTCAGTGAAAATGAATTAGCAAACGCAGTCATGGAGTGCAGTAATGAGCGAAAAAAGTTTGACATTATCTATGTATTGAGTTGAAAAGAAGTCTTGCCTTTAGTAAAAACCTCAACTCTAATGACATGTGGCACTTGCTGTACATTCACGTTTGATCTTTGTAAAAGGCCTGTGGAATAGGTAGGTATTACCTTTTATAGATGTGGAAATTTAGGCTTATTTTAATAGCTTGTCGAAGGGTCGCACAGGTAGTAAGAGATGGATTTGAACCTAGGCATTCTGATTGCATAGTTTCCCTTTCATTATGCCACTGTGTATTTGTTATATACACTGAGTAGCTAATCGCCACTAGAGACGCCTTTGGAAAAAAGTAAAGCGAAACTGCTGAAGCTTGGGAATTACTACTTCCTTTTTGACAGGTGGTCCTTGCATGTAAATTTCCATCTACGTAGGTTTCACATCCTTTTAGAGTCAAGTTTTAATGAATAAATCTAGGAAGGCATGTATTTATTTATCACATGAAAGGTACGGATGTATTATATTCAATTCTTATTCTTTTGATCTGGGGATTGGTACTTAGATATTTTTATGGTGTGATAGTAGTCGATGGTAATTCAGGAATTGCGCTCGAAGTATGTATGAAATCAGGAAATAAATATTTTCATCATACTTCTAGTGCTTAAATATATTGTTTCCCTTGTAAAATTATAGTCAGGATAAGGTGTACATGACATTTATTGAACACTGTTTCCTGTTAAAATAACGCGCTGAAGACAACGTGTAGTATATGCTTTACTAAACACTATATACATTTAATTCTCTCAACATTGTTAGGCGGCATCTTAATTGTACAGATGAGGAAACTGAAGGTTACTATGATTAAGAAACTTGTCCAAGGTAATACAGGTAGTAAATGGCAGAGGCAAGATTCAAGCTCATGTCTGTCAGACTCTGTACTTAAATTAGATATTTACTAATAAGTGTATACTAAATATCCAATGTTGAAATTTATTTTTGTCACTTTATAGGATGAATCATTTATATGATTTGGTGGAAACTTTATTTTGCTTTATTTTGTTTTATGAAATTAGTAGTCATGAAAGGCAAGTGAATTTTAGTGCTGTATTCTCGTGCCTGCTTTTGCAAAATTCCAATTTGGAAATTTTTACAATTAAATTTAAGTTGAAATAGCACTTAGAGGAAAAGGGAGGGTTATAGAACATTAAAAATGATAGAGTGAAAATGCCAAAATGCTAATAAACAAATGTTCTTTTGTTAAATTAGGTTATTATAGATTATTTCTTTAAAAAATGCAACTTAGGTTTTTAAAATCTGATTAGAAGTTTTTTTGGTAGGAGATATTCAAAATCTGGCCAAACATAAAACAACATTTAAAAAAATCACTATCACTTACTTTTGCAAACACCAATACTGTTGTGGTTCTCTGTGTTTTTTGTTTGTTTTTGAGATGGAATCTTGCTCTGTTGCCCAGGCTAGAGTGCAGGTGCCTCAATCTCTGCTCACTGAAACCTCAACCTCCTGGGTTCAAGTGATTCTCTTGTCTCAGCGTCCTGAGTAGCTGGTATTATAGGTGTGCTTCACCTGCGTGCCACCTAGCCCTGCTAATTTTTGTATTTTTAGTAGACATGGGGGTTTCACCATGTTGGCCAGACTGGTCTTGCACTCCTGAACTCAGGTGACCCACCCGCATTGGCCTCCCAAAATGTTGGGATTACGGGCGTGAGCCACCGCTCCTGGCCAGTTCTCTGTTTTTTAAAAACATATGTTAATATTCTGAGTAAAGAGATAAAGAATATTACAAAAACACCAACCATGAATATAGTGTGTAAATCTTCCCTTCCTTTTAAAAACAGCATCTTGCTTGCCTCCGATGGTACCATGTATGATAATCTAATGCTCAAAATATTGCACATTTATAGTAATACTGAGTTCTGACTTGGCCGTTTCATAATAATTGTTTGCTAGATATTAAAGATCTCTAAAGTGTCTTCAGTATTAAATTAATTTTTGTAACATCAACAGATTTTTAATCCATTCTCATAATACAGGGATGGATGAATCATTCTTACTGTAGATATGTTATTATATGAGTACAGATGTATTAATGTCAACTGCTATCCATCCTCACATTTTTCAGCTTCAGAGTTGGAGACCTTAGACATTTGCCCTCCTCATTTTATGGGTTTAGGAGTCTGATTCTGCAATGCACTGAAATTTCTCAGTTTCAGAGAAAAATCTACCCTTTGCTCAAGGATATGCTTTCTTTTCTTTTCCTTTTTTTTTTTTTTTTAAAGGAAAAGCAGTACAGTGTTAAGATGTTTTAAGTGTTGATGCCAAGTTCTCAAAGATAATATTAAACATTTTGCCAGAGAATGCTCACATTTCAGCTCAGGGATACAAAGCTGAGGTGTTTTTTTTTGTTTTGTTTTTTTTCTTTTTTTCCATTTTGCTAAATTACTAGTTGTTATATTAGCAGAACATAATACCAAGTGTTGGTAATTTTTTTATGGGGTATCAAAGCAGTTGTCCTTTATGGTTTACCTATTCATTTGAAAGGTGTGAAGCTAAAGAGTTTTGTGGTTGATCATGTTCTATATGCACTATGGCAAAATGTGAGGTAACTTAGATTTGGAAGAAATGAGTTAAAAGGATAGAAAATTATCAGAATCAGACAGCTAGTTACTCTCTTTCTAGAACCACATGGTCTTTCTTCTTTGTTTCCAGACATGTCTGCTGTATGTTTCTTACCACATACCACCTTTTACTGCTTTGGCATGCTTGTGACCAAGCATATGTGCATTTATTTGTTAAGTGTTTATTGAACACTGTTACGAGCCAGGCACTATTTTATGTTATGCATTTGGGCTAGGCAGGGAACAAAATAGAGAAAAATCCTTTCTTTCACAGAGCTTACATTGTAGTTATTAGCTTAAGACAAAATAAACATGTAATAAATTATATGGTGTAACTAGAAGGTTATAAATGCCATGGAGAACAGTGAATTGGGAGGGAATAAGAAGTGCCAGGATGTGAGAGCAGAGGTTGCCATTTTGTTGTTGTTGTTGTTGTTGTTTTTTTGAGACAGAGTCTTGCTCTGTCACCCAGGCTGGAGTGCAGTGGTGCAATCTCAGCTCACGAGGGGTTGCAGTTTTAAATATAGCAGTAAAGGAAGGCATTACTGAGAAGGAGCAAAGGAGAAGGAGTTAGCCATGCAGATAGTCTGAGCAGAGATTTCCAGGCAGAGGGAATATAGCCTACGTGAAGTCTCTAAGATGGGAGCATGCCTAGAGTGTTCAAGAAGTAACCAGAAGAGCAGTGTAGCTGTAATGGAGTAAAAGACTTGGGAGAAGAGTAAGTCTAATATGGGGTCAGAGAGATCATGGAGCCAATGGGGAGTGAGCATGTAGGACTTTGTTGACTTTTACTTTAGTCAGATAGGGAGCCATGCGAGGGTTTTGAACTGAGGTGAGACATAAATTGTCTTGATATACAGCCAGTCTTCTGTGTCTGTGGGTTCCACATCTGTGGATTTATCCAATGTCAGATGGAAAATACTTGGAAAAAAATAGATGGTTGCATTTGTAGTGAACATGTACAGATTTTTAAAAATCATTATTCCTATAACAGTATAATATGATGACTACATAACATTTATGTTATAAGTTTTGTAAGTAGTCTAGAGATAATTTAAAGTACAGTTGACTCTTTTTTTTTTTTTTTTTTTTGAGACGGAGTTTCGCCCTTGTTACCCAGGCTGGAGTGCAATGGCGCGATCTCGGCTCACCGCAACCTCCGCCTCCTGGGTTCAGGCAGTTCTCCTGCCTCAGCCTCCTGAGTAGCTGGGATTACAGGCACGAGCCACCATGCCCAGCTAATTTTTTGTATTTTTAGTAGAGATGGGGTTTCACCATGTTGACCAGGATGGTCTCGATCTCTCGACCTCGTGATCCACCCGCCTCGGCCTCCCAAAGTACTGGGATTACAGACTTGAGCCACCGTGCCCGGCCCACAGTTGACT